AGTGTGCTGAACAAAAACAAGTGGATTCTCAATCACACACACTAACAAACATTTATTTAAAGTAAATTTGCTACATTAGGTATCACCGACAGGTGACGACAAACCGGTGAAGAACAAGCCTGTGAAGATCAAGCCAGTGAAGAACAGGCCGGTGAAGATCAGGCCGGTGAAGATCAGGCCGGTGAAGATCAGGCCGGTGAAGAACAAGCCGGTCAGGAACAAGCCGGTCAGGAACAGAACAAGCCGGTGAAGAACAAGCCGGTCAGGAACAAGCCGGTCAGGACACACCGGGGTAAACTTCAAAGTTCTTCAAAGTTCGGAAAAAAATGTTTTCCAACCAACCGTCTAGCAAAGGGTCCCTGCTAGGCGGAAGTTTGGACTTCTGGGAAAAACCCACATTACCAGTTTAGGCTTAGGCCTACAAACATACAAGGCTTACACTGATATACCACCACACAAAGACTCAACACTCTGCTCTCTTGGATTATAGCACACACACTATAGAGATACTGCGAGGTGAGGCACATGCCGGAAATGAAGTGGCAGGGAATGGCGTATTTTGCGCTTCTGTCCTCACGCCTTCCACCTCCACAGTGTTGCCAAGTCGAGCATGACACAGAGATGTATAACCGGCGCAACATTCACCCAACTGCCAAATATCACCAAGAAAGTTTTTCCCCACAATACCCCCAGTCCCACTGGGGGATTGGGAACAACGGCTGGGCTGCATAGAGGTCACTCCCCCGGGGTCTACAACCATACGTCAACACAAAACATAGTCCAGAGAGGCCCCACCTCACAAACTGCTTTATGCCTCCATATTCTATTTTCATTAGAATTGAGTGGGAAGAAGGCTGTTGCGGGATGACTTGAGCGATCTTGTATGTCATATTTTCTTGGTTTTTCAGGCATTGAATTCGCCGCATCTGAGTGAAAATATAAGCAAAGGAGATCATACGAATTCAGAGACATTTCTAAACATTCCTGAAACATGATTCTCTATGAGGGTAATCAATACGCCCAAATGTACGTAAAAATCAAAATTTGGCAATACGGTTGAAAAATTGGGGCTGCTATGTACGTGATGCTGTGGACGTATGGCGCAATAGACAACGTGCCTGTTGGTTTGGTTAGCGCTTATACGAGGGTGGTTCAATACTTACCTGCACTTTTAATTCCAGAAAATATATGGTACATCTGATCTCTATCGAACTGCGCTTACTTCTCGAGGTATTCCCTTCCTACACGAACGTACTTGTCTCATACCTTTGGCAACGCTTGAACGCCAGAGACATTAGAATGCTTGTGGTCGAGTGCGCAGCCACTTCACCACTTCATCATTGCCCTGAATTTCTTAGGCCAAGGAGATGCGGAATGTCGCCTTTGCATGCTTGGTCGTTTTCAACCTGACGTTAAGAGATGAATCCCCATTTCATCGCTCGTCAAAATGCGGTATAGGATGTTGTCTTTCTCTTCGCCATAGCAGCAGAAATGGTCTGACCCGGCGCTCTTTCGGTTACCCTTCTGTTCGAATGTCAGTTCTCTTGGCACCCGTCTCGCAGTCACCTCTTTGAACTTGAAGTGAGTGTGGATAATGTTTTCGACACTCCCAATGTCGCTGTTCAGTTCCGCTGCAAAACCTTGCTAAGGGACGCGACGATTTTCCTGAATCAATTGTTCAATCTGCGCATATTCACAGGATTCACAACTGTCTCGGACGGATGCCAACTCTCATGGAAATGTCGAGGATTCTTGGCCGTCTTGAAATTTCTTGTGCGATCAGAGATACACTTCTCTCTATTCGGTCTTCCCCGAACTGTACTTGTCATTTTCGAAAAGTATCAGCCACCTTCGCATTCTCTTTCCTGTGAAACTTTATTGGACAACGCTGTTTAACCCCGGAGGATATACCATTAGACGCTATGTGCTTCACATTCAATTGGGCATGCGCAAAGGTTGCCAGTCTTGGCATAAATCACAATGAAGAATCTGTCATACTAGTCTTTCAGACTTTTTCTATCCTATTTATTTTCTAGAATAGAAAGTGCAGTTAAGTATTGAATCACCCTCGTACTTTCGTCCATATGATAAAGAATGTTCCATGTCTGTCGCATCTTAAAAGGAAATTTAGTTTGGTGAATTCCTCCTCCGTATTACATACATAACGAAATGATGAAAGCAAAATTGATGACAGACGACTGCAACGAATGTGTGGAACACCGATAGGTAAAAACGTTGAACAACAGTGATGTCGAATAACTCAGTTTGCCGAACGTTGACTACGAGACATTCGTACACCAACTGCAACCTAATCTCTAAAAAAAATTCTGAAAAACCGATATTCCAGACGGATGGGCGAATGCAAAGTCAAGACTTCAAAGGTCAATAACAAAGACTTTCCCATCAGTATCCGAATGATTTCGGTCTTTTCTTTGGAGTAGTACAAGATGTGACCTCTTTCGCGCGTCATCCCAGCAGAAGCGGTGCCAATTATCATGCTTTTTTCCGCGAAAAAAGGAACAGTCCATGAATATTAATGACGGAAGGCGAATGCATGGGCGTCCAAGAGCAACTTGCCTACATCTAATGTCATATCCAGCTGCTGATTCTGCCAACTAGAAAGGTTACACGAAGTGCTTTAAAATGTGTAACACGGGCTCTCCTTAAGTGTTAGAGAACGAGCTTTTTAGGTCAGCCAAGAAGTTTGAAAGTGCTAAAAAAAAGGAAGACTCACCTTTTCCTCGTCATAACGAATGTTGAGTTCCATGAAATCGTATGACAGTCCAGATTTGTTGGGATAAATGGCCGAGGCCACAGAGTTTTCATTGATGAACTGAAGGAAAGCATGAAAAAGACAAAAACTCGGAATCAGGTCGTGGAAAATACCAAAATTTCTTTCAAAACTGCACTCGTGCTGGTTCTCTCAAGTATGCCTTCATGTACGAGCAAAAGTGATAGGTTGTTTATAGTGAATTGGAGTTTTTTGAAGTTATCGAACATGTTAATGCTAACAGATAATAACTTCAGATGTGTACATTCCAAGAGTCGAGCTCAGTATGTCCGCAAGTACATTTCTTGCGTTTCAAAAATGTAATTTTAAAAAATCCATTTCGTTCCACTAAATCCCAAGATGAACGCAAAAGCGGTGATAGTCACCATGAGTAACTTTAAAATCATCCCCTATCCTCACATATTTAGACGTTTTCTCACTATTCGTCAAAATTTCGATTGCGTTGTCACTCGAATGCAGAAAACTGCATGGTTGAGGTCATTCCCTTATTAAAGTGATTTCATGATTTACATTCCAATTTATAGAGTCCGGGGCCTTGAAGAACGTCATGAGATCTTCGGTGAACCACTATATTTGATAGCCTTAGTATAATTAAAATGCGAGTTCCATCTTGAGGTATCACATGATGAAGTTACAGTTTTCTAGAACCAGTAATTGAAACGTATTGGTATATTGATATAGATTTGGGATCTCTAGGCATGTGAATCGATTACAATAGGCATGGAATAGGCAACAATGTATACTTGTTCTGTGATTTTCATGAGGTGGCTGTTCTTTGTCTTTAAGCGTTGTATTTCTTCGTTTTGCTTTTTGAGCTGCTCTTGAAGCTGCGTCTTTTCGATATGATGTTTGGGCTGCAAACTTTCGAGCTGCTCTTGAAGCTGCGTTTTTCCAATATGATTTTCGCGCTGCAAACTTTCGAGCTGCTCTTGAAGCTGCGCCTTTTCGATATGATGTTTGCGCTGCAAACTTTCGAGCTGTTCTTGGAGTTGTCTGATCGTCGCCTCGTCCTTTCCCTCCAACTTCGTCAAGGGCTTCACCTCGTCCTCTCGCTCCTTTTCCCTCGCCAGCTGAATTAGGACAATGAAATGTTGTGGGTAAGAATCTTTCCAAGACTGTTATGAATAGAGGTTCCTACATTTTTATTGGATCCGACCTTGTAAATTGCAGACTTCTTGACTTGGTCATTCTCTCGTTGAATATCCTGCCCAGTTGCTCCTTCTTTTTGGAATTTAGCACGCACATTATTAGCATTCGGATGCATGGTAGCACCACAATCTTTCGCAAAATTGCAGACTAAAAAAAATTGCTGTTCAAGAACTAAATTTCAAATTCCTACGTTTTTGAAACAACGTGAAATTAATTTTGAAAAATCAAAAATTGCATATTTTCACCAACTTTGACGGTCCGGAGTTCCTATTTTAAACGCGATATAAAATTGTACTTAGTGTACCTAGTGGAAGCTCTATCCAAAGCGCTTTCCATTTATATATAATACGTTACTTTCACTTTTCTTATCTGTAATTTTTTAAAATTACTTTTGAATTCCGCAAATTTCGAAACGAAAGGTATGGCGAAATGACAGCGATGGGAATCTTGGTTAAACAACCTGACTTATGCATATCTCACATTTGACCCATAAATATCGCTATTTCTGTTATATGCTTGGATTAACATATGCGTCAGCCACATTACACTTTCTTGCAGCCATTTTATAGTTTCAAGTAACACAACTCTATTCTGTGGAATGTTCAATATTGATATTTTATTGCCTAACCCAAGCATAAAATAGAAATAACGATATTTATGAGTGAAATGTGAGGGATGCATAGGTCAGGTTGTTTAACCAAGATTCCCATCCCTGTCATTTCAGTCATACCCTTTCGTTTCGGAATTTGCAGAATGCAAATTTGCAGAAAAAAACACGGAAGGGAAAAGTAAAAGTAACAACATGAGTAATATATCAATGGAAAGCGTTTCGATATAGCTTCTGTTTGACACTAGTTACTATTTTATATCATGATTAAAGCAAGAATTACGGACAGTCAAATTTGGTGAAAATATGCAATTTTCGACTTTCCAAAATTAATTTTACGTTGTTTCAAGAAACGTAGGTAGTTGACATTTACTTCTTGAATAGCAATTTTTTTAGACTACTATTTTGCGAAAGATTGTGGTGCTACCATGCATCCTAATGCTAATAATTTGCGTGCAAAATTCTGCAATATTTACAATTTTGGAAATTATGTAACTCAATTTGTAATAAAATCATTAATAAATGCATTTAATATTGCGATTCTACATTGTCTCAACTTTAATTAGAGTTCAAAAACATATTTCTAGCTCGACTAGGACCGAGGATAGCGCTTTAACCCTAAAGGCGACTTTTCCTCCTTGGAGTGACGTTTGGGGCAACATATCTCGAGATCCGTTAGAACCAGAGAGGCAAAATTTCTGGATTTTTTCATAAGTCTTGATTGCCAACATGCAATAATTTTTTCAAGGAAATCGGAGTCTGAAGCCCAACGAAAGTGACTAAAATTTGACCACTTGAGCTGGAACGCCTCTGTTTTGTACTGGCCGATCGATTTGGAGTAATAAGGAGATATCTCATCCGGACATCTCTAAATTAACATCATAGGCTACTAATACTGGTGTTCTTTAACGTCAGACAAACCTTAATTTAGGAGAGATAACGGGGCCTTTCAGCGAAGGAACTCTTTTTCTCCCATAGGAATCCATGTAATCTTATAGGACTGTTAACTGTCTATAGTTAACAGTCGGATCTTACCATACTGGCGACACGTGGTGTACCACCAACGCACCAAACGGAATACTAACACCGTATGGAACTGGACTCGAATAATGAAGTAAGCGGTAACATGGGAATCCTTCGAGACGCACGAGCTACTCGCACTGGTCGGAGGGAAAGTGATGGGGCGAAGAGGCCAAGCACTCAGGCGGTTGCCTGTGAATCCTTCGACTGTCCATGCAATGCCCCGAGGGTTCATGGGAGAAAGGAGAGGGGGAGGGAGGGGGGGGTTTCCTCAGCACGATGAAGTGGAATACGGAGGTTAACATGCGTCTAGACGATGCAAGACCACTCAAACCACCCTCTCGGCTCCGCTCCGCTATAGACGGAGTATTTTGGTTTTACGAACGCTTTTCAGGCGACTCGGCACGGTCGGGAAGCAAGAGATATAAATCGAAAATCCAGTCGATGTTTTTTCTCTTGAGAAAAATAAATCGAAATGCGAAAATTGAGAAATGTATATCATCTCGATTTACCGATTTCTCTGAGTATGGCGGATGAAAAGTAGCCCCGACAGATCTTTCGTGGTATATTTATGAAAAACTCCAGAGAAGCACGTGGTACCCTACCGTTGCACATTTTCGCTGAGATGGCTCAAGAAAGTGAGAGGAACAAATCATCGGCCTTTCATGGAACGATTGCGACTCTCGCGAAAAAGTTGTCCTCCATGTAATGTGTTTTTATCGCATCCAAAAATTTGATGCGATAACCGCATCCAAAATTCGATGCAATAAAGACGCAGCACAAGGGGGACAGATTTTTCGCGAGAAAAAAAAATCAAACTGAGGCGCTGAATTTCTGTGTTGATGGGAATTTTGAGTCCCAGGATTATCATTTAGAGAAACGATGAATTCTTCCGCATGAATGTAGTTTACCTCATTTCCAGCTAGGTGTAGACTTTCGCTCCTTATCTTCCTCTCAGATGAACCGGTTTCTCATAGTGAATTAATCTCTTCGAGAGATGCCTGTATTTCTTACATTCTTTACCAAGGAAATTCTTGCAAATTTCTGCTCCTCCACATTTCACAAAATCTTTCACATTTTTATGAGCAGACTATGGAACTCTGACCCAAAGTTGATGCCTCCACGCGTACCAACTACTCTTCCGCCGTTGCTTTATCGCGCAATAAGAAAATACCAGTTGCCTTCGCGTTTTCGCTTCTGTGCTGAAACGGACAGAGAAAATAATAAATACATCTGGGACGCTTAGCCCTTTGAGGACAACGTTTTTTTTTTCAATCCTTCGGGAGCAGGAACGTAACTGTGGCATAGGCATAGGGAAAGAATATAGGAGAAAGTGAGCCTGCCATAAATGAGAAAAATACAATAAGAACTGTTTCAAATTTGACGTTTCACTAGAACCTGCAGTTGGAATGAATACGTGAATTTCTAAAAAAAAAAAGAACTTACTTTCGACAGATTTTATCCGAGCGACTTCACGCGAGCTGCCCTCATAACGCGCCATACCTTTTCTTGTGGAATCTTCTGTAACCTTGGCAACGTTTTTCTCATATATTAAGTCAATTGCTTTACTCGCATTGAACCCAAGTCCTATCCTGTGAAGAGCTTCTTGGAGGGCTCCAAATGTGGGGGATTCGCCCTTTGGTGACTTCTTCCACTCACTCAAAACAAAGTATGTCATTTCCAAAGGACCTTTACTCTTTTCTTTGATCTCTTTTAACTCATCTTTGTTGAGGCCCAATTCTCGTCCGAGATCTTCCTGGCTATCCAAAAATCTTTCCAGTTTCCTGGCGATCTCCCAGAGGTCGTTTTCTGAAGGAAACCTACGAAGCATGAGAATAATGTTGTTTATTCCACTACTGAACCTCAAGGTTCAACTAAACGAAACTCGCATACTTTTTCTAATAGAACTTGGAAAACTTAGTGACAATGGCTCCAACGACGTTCTCTGACATATTTTATTAACGCTTTTGGAATCCCAGTATACTAACTTGTTACTAAGGTAGAGTGTATTCTGACCCTTGCCAGTACTTGAATCTCCCTGGGGTTGGAAAGCTTAAAAAAGAGAAGTTCGATCAAGGTGTGCAAAATATAGGGAGTTGATAAGATCTATACGAGCACCAGTAGCGAAGGAGAATAAAGTTTCCTTAGAGATGAAATGTTTCTATTTGGTATGACATCGTGAAACTTCCGTATGTGTCACAAAAAGAGGGCGATTCTTCCCTTTGGTATGCACTGTCTCTCCTCCTCCGCAGTTTTTCCTTAGATTCCTTAACACTTTCGCTGCCATACGACCCGCCGGCGGGTCGTAAGGGCTCTTTCCTCCTAGGCCATACGACCCGCCGGGAGGTCGTACGTTCTCTCTTCTCCTGGGTCATACGAGCCGCCGGCGGGTCGTGCAGGTCCTTTCTACCAGATC